AATGGAGCATGTGATTGAACACATACCGAACCGATGACCCACTGTCAAAAAATTTAGCCCGATATCTTCGAAAATGGCTAAGTTGGCCGCTTTTACTTTTTGCGTTAGTCAATATTGACAATATTAGCCCTCGAATGTGTGCAGCGTTTTCCAGCTTCTAATGTGTAGGGGGAGGGGGAGGGGGTCGGTCGGACCCCCTGCCGTTCGGCCCCTGATCGAGCTAGAGCTTCGCGAAAAAAACGAGGGTGTTGCCCGTGACGAGAGGAAGCCGATGATACCCAATTTTAAGGTCCTACTTCATTGGTTGACCTTCCAGGTCAGGTCAATATTCGAAAGTCGGGAAAATCGGGACCTGCTAGAACTGCGTAAAGTGAAGCTGTTATCGGGTTTTTCGGGGTGCTGATCACAAATATCTGATGTTAGTTTTGATCACAGATGATTTCTTCATGCATTTAGGCCAGATCGGGTCAGGTCAGGTCCATTAGGCGTCCTACCGGCTATCCATAATAGGTGTCAACTACCACTGACGGCGTCGTAGCATGTCACGAAAGCACTAAAACTACTTCGTAAACGTTCAAATTGATGCTAAATTCGAACAGCCCTATAAACTACCCTCATATTTGCGAACAACCATGGGGGGGGGGTTCATCCGACCCCCCTACACATGCGAGGGTCAATGCTTCCAAATGCACTTATCGGTTGGTACCTTTTCGACATGGTACACCCTCAAAGCTCGTAACGAGCCTTCGCTCGGGTGTCGCCCCCCCCCCCTTCACCGGCCATGGCTGGATTTCTGCACCCATGCACCCACAATGTTCCAGCCGTTCCTACGCCCCAGCAATGGCACAAAGAGCTTGGGTTGCGAGTGCAATTTTCCACTCCCACCTGCAGCGGCAGCCTGATCCGGGTGAGTTCCTTCGCTCTAGAGCAAACAATGATTTTAATTTTTTCTCATTTCCCTTTTTAGTGTTACAAAAATGTCATCATCATAACTAGTAACTACCATGTTTATGCCTTTATCTTCATGAACGTCTGTGCTTTGGAAATGCCTTTGTATGGCGCGTTGTTAGGCAGCAATCGTTACTTGCTGCATAGATGTCTGAAACGCGTGATCAAAGAAATTTGACTTTAACCCGGCAGTTGCTGGGGTATTTCGCCACCCACCGTTTGCTGGGGGGGGGGGGGGGCGTTAAACGCCCCCAGCCGATAACTCGAGAACCAATAGGCGCAGCGAAACGCACGAGGCGGCAAACGAAAGAGCGCGACGAGACGCTTCAGATGAGTACTTTAAAGTTGAATTTTGAGGTCACAGGTCGGGTCAAGGTCAGGTCAAACACCTGAAATCGGGCTTTCAGTAGCATGGACTTCAGGACTTCGCAATGGGCGCCTCTCGTCACAAACTGTGTCAAAACGGTGCACAATCCATCATATAAAGCCTACAAGAGTGTCAGCTCCATGTAGGGGTCAGTCAAGCATAGGTCAGGGTCAAGGTCAGGTCAACCGGGTAGGCACATATCCCCGAAAATCAAAACTGATATTCGCGGCCTATGACACATGTTTTATGGGTAATTTGGGGCGTAGAACACGATGGTGACATTCATTTTATCATATGTGTACGTGTTTGGCTAAAAAAGTTCAATTTAAGAAATGCATGTATCATGGTCGTGAAGTAGTCACGAGAAATTGCCAAGATTCAGTTCAAGATTTTGGAAAATGCAGAACGATAATCAAAAATCGAAGATAGCCATTTGATTGTTCATGGTATTGGCAGTCTAATGGCATTTACGGCATGTCTGTATGTCTATTCTGTGATTTTATATGATTTTTTGAACATATGCCGTTTTTGGTCGAAAACTCAGAAATCATGACGTCACTAAAACCTCGATATCTCAAAAATTTTCTGACCGATTTTTTTGGAACTTTGTCACAATAAACTTCAATCAATTCCCTACAGGTACCCAAAATTTGGCGCGCCTGCGGCGCGCCGTTTTTATGCTATGGCCCGGCGAAAAAAGTGGGGGCGTTTAACGCCCCCCCCCCAGCAACTCGCGCCTCGCGGGTTAATATAAGGAGGCTTGAAATGATCTCACGCATGTCAAAGTGTTTTTATTTTAGGCAAAATAAATATCTAAAACAGTAAGACAAGCTTTCGGCATTAGGCCCTCATCAAGTTGATCAAGTTAATCAAGTTGAATCCAATTGAGAGCTGTATGAACGCCAATCTAATTACGATTTTTATCATTTCGTTTCATCTTCCGATAAAAAACTTTTTTCTCCTTAGGATGCACGCTCATTATTTAGCTGTCCTGTTCCTACTGCTTTTGCGGCATATCATGCGGCGTATATGTCTTAGATCTGCTACTTTGATTCTGTTCTGCTTTTAAAAAGCCGGCCGGAAAGGCAGCCTTCAAAGTAAGACAACATCAGCCAAGCGTAGTTTTACGGGATGATTTAATAAAACAATATATTTCAATATTTTATACGTCCTTAAGTACCTGAGCTTAATCTCAAACAGTGCGTGAATACATGTTTGCTCGTGCAGTATATCGCCGATGGCACTTATATTTACTCATGACGTCATCTAAGATAATGCGCGAACAGCTGTCAAGCCCCTGCTCTCGAACAGAACTTTTAGCTTGTTTTGAAATCGATTACGCTGCAGGGGGACGTTAGGAGGTATTATTTATATATTTTATTGAGTATTCTGAGTATTTTAACTGCAATGCTACAACTCTAAGGGAACTAATAGGGCGGTACACACGGAGGTCCCCGCTTCAAAATTAGTTAATCCCTATAATATAGACATTATTCTATAGAGAAACTTATGTTTAGTAAGAATAATGTGGTTTCCAGTTATCTGATCGATAATTTTAAGACCAAAGGCTAACTAATCGTATTCTTACCACGATCTCGGTGGAGCCGCACGACGGTCTGTTGTCAACATGTCAATTGTTGTTAAATACCATTACGCAGAAATGTAGTATCTTCAAAAAAACCAACACACTAGGGGACCTGTGGGAAACCGGGGTTTTGGGTGGGGGGGGGGGTACTTTTTTATGAAAAAAGATAGATATACACAAATAATTTTGGAATTACGGTTCTGTATTTTTAATTTTTAATTGAAGAGAATTCGGTTATTTTCTTTTTCGGTAAAGCGCCTCACGAGATGCGCCAGATCTGTCGACAAATGATAGCGACTTTTCTGAAAAAGTCTTCAGAAATGTTTCGTTCGTAAATATTTTCGTTCGTGCATTTTCTTTATTTTCGTTTTTTGGTCCGTGTATTTTTTTGTCTGTACATATTTTCATTTTTCGTCCAACATTTCTTCGCCTGTACTGTACATGTTTTCGTCTGTGGCCAACTCGTGGCGAAGCAGTGCAGTGCCGAAGGCAATGCCTTAGGAGAGATTACAGGCAATAGTAAATCAAATATTTTTAGGTTAAATGGTTATGTATCTGGCTTCAGGCCGAAGGCCTGAAGCCTGATGCATGACCACTTAACCTGAAAATATTTGATTTACTATTGCCTGCAATCTATTCCTGCGAGTAGGGGAAAGTGGGGTAAGACGGTCAGGGTAGGTAAGACGGGCACCCCTTCTGCAGACCAAACCAACAGCGCTACGAGCGAGAAAAATTAGGGCCAGAATTGCCTTTCCCACTACACACCACCATTGAAGTCTGGTGAATTTGTGTTCAGTCGATGATCTTTTATTTTGATTTCTTTAAAACACCCATTTCATTGAAAACATCCATAATGTATTGTGCAAGCTTTTGTGTGCAGCACTATTGAGATAAAAACTAGCAATCACTCGTGGTACACTCATATGCCACAAGTGTTCATTTACCGCGGATTTGCTTTGTCTGCATCAAATTATCCACGAGAAAAATCGTGCTGAACTTCTGACATTGAGTTTGGGGTAAGACGGGCAACTATGAATCCAATGGGTCTGTAATGGTGAAAATATTTTTGTTGCTGTAGGAAAAAAGAAACATTTCTAATAAGAATATGTTCGATTCCGATACTCACAGACATGTTTGCAATATTCCTTCGGCACAGTTTATTCTCGAATAATGAATGTGAAAAACGGTTCTACATGGCTTCTGAACTAGGGCCTATATACGAGCATACGCCTTCTGCACGAATCTCGTATACTGCCATTTCTGAAGCACTTGAGACCAACGAACGACTGTATCAATGCGGCTAATCTCGGGCATTTCTTGCGAGCTGTGCTGGTCGGTGAAAAAACCTGGCCGTCTTGCCCTACCCATGTGACCGTCTTACCCCATGGGGCGGGGTAAGACGGGTTTTTGCAAGGTTTTGCAAAAAAAGCTGCAGTTTATTTGTTGAATCAGGTCTAAGTCTCATCTTCTGGCAATTGGAAGTAAAATGTCTAAAAAAGGGTTTCACACAGTTTCGCGTTTCTATGATGTTTCTAACCGGCCGAAAAATGGCTCCAAAGTTAAGGTGCCCGTCTTACCCCACTTTCCCCTAACTATTTCCTTATCCGGTAGGCAAAAATCAGTAGGTTAGGTTAGGTCAGGTTAGGTTAGGTTAGGATTCCCGGTAGGCAAGAATCAGTAGGTTAGGTTAGGTTAGGTTAGTTTAGGTTTCTTTCCTTATCCGGTAGGCAAAAATCAGTAGGTTAGGTTAGGTTAGGTTAGGTTAGGTTAGGATTCCCGGTAGGCAAGAATCAGTAGGTTAGGTTAGGTTAGGTTAGGTTAGGTTAGGTTAGGATTCCCGGTAGGCAAGAATCAGTAGGTTAGGTTAGGTTAGGTTAGGTTAGGTTAGGTTAGGATTCCCGGTAGGCAAGAATCAGTAGGTTAGGTTAGGTTTCTTTAAGCTCGGTAGGCAAAAATCAGTAGGTTAGGTTAGGTTAGGTTAGGTTAGGACACCTCTTTGAATTTCATCGAGTAATAATCGCTTTTCTCAAATTTAAACTTGTCCGCGCTTTAGACAGAACAATATGAGAACCTTGGTATTGTTTGTCATTTCTGTCTGCGATAAAAAATTGTGCACGCGAAACGCATCTGATATTTTTGCAGCCTTGATTGTTTATAAAAACAGATTGTGCTCATCCGCCGTAACCAGCATGGCGTCAGCGTCGGTTGCGAGGGGTGAGGTGTGTGGTGTTTTGGGGTCAATTTTGCCAGCTTTAAATGGTAAGCTGTTGCATTTTACTGGCAGGGAATGTTAGATAGTTGGATTATAGCATGTTGTGATACTAATTGGATTCATTTAACTAAAACGAAAACGCTTGGGGACCTCCGTGTTTCCGACCACTAATAGTGTCTAGTGAGCCAGTAATAGAGAATTTCGGCCCAGAACATAAAACAACTCGGCACTCGCTATTATTCCAGTAAGAATAGCCAGAAACCATAACAATTAGGTAAATATTTACTTTAGGTCCGCAATATTATTGTAACAAGAAAAAATGCACATTCTTACACTATTTGATGTCCTGAATTCAGATATGATGCTTAAATGCATCAAAAATGTAAAATAAGATACTAAAACCCCAGCACATTACACCGCACTGCTGCACAATACACACTGAAGAAAGCACGCTTCCGCGACAAAAACGAAACATACAACGCTGCCCTATAAAAGAAAAAAATGATGCGGATATTCATTAGTTTTCGACATTATGAAAATGACGTCATAATACCAAAGCACAAGAAAAACAATTTATGATCATCCGTAATTTCGCTCAACCTTGGTTGGACCATTTGTAGCGGGTGCGCCGCGCAGACGGTCTTTTGACACGTGCAGTTCCGGTCGGAGGTGGGGCCGTTGGTGGTGATACTGGTGATACTAGTGTACTGGTGCTTTGAAATTGGTTTCTAGAAGGAATAAGTATCAGCAATGAAATCAGGAGGTCTTAGAGTATCGTGTGAATGACTTTTATTTACCCCTCTGTTTTGCGGACCTAAAGTAAATAAATACCTAACCTACACCCTGGTAACCTATCACCTAAAACCTACAATCTACATTCTACAACATAACTTGTAGGCTATAGTGCCACTGCCTCTCCTTGATTGCAAAAAAAAATGCATGATGCCAGCTTTACTACTACCTTTTTGTGTAAATGAATTGAAAATATTATATTCACCTCTTACCTACCTTCTTAAATAAGTTAGCAATTTCACATTTGCTTCTTGATGTCTGCTCACTATTTTTGACTATTATTATTAAAGAAAGTAGCAAAAAATGATAGATTTATGATAACACAAATGGGAACAATATTCAAATATGCCTGCTTACAGTTCTGTTGTTATTTGGAAATATTCCTTCATTTTTAGACTTAAGTATGTTGTTCTATGAAAATGGCCAAGTTCCTAGCTCTTAGTCAGATTTTTTAGCCTGTCAGATCATTTGGAGTGCACTTAGGAGTACAAGACGAATAATATGCATGAGATGATCAATAGCCTAGGCTTTAATAGAAAGTAAAAAACTAGAATCTAGGATAAGATAATATTTTTGGCTTACCACTATTAAAGCTGTTGAGGCTTTACTTGCACTTTTCATTTTAGCATTTCAAGTGATGAGACCATATGAGACAGGCTTTTAAAAATCACACTGCAGCAATTCTAGCATCATTTCACCATCCTAGCCTTGTGTAAGGCCTAAATCTTGCTTGAACTCTTTATATGCTAACAAAATACAACATTAGCACATTAGATGTGCTTATAGTAACTAGTTAGTAGGCAGTGTGTTGTAGTCACTTTTATTTATGTTTGCATGTTGAGGACCATGCTGCCATCCAAAGGCAAAAACGCATATGTCTGGTCATGACCTGACCCAACATATGCGTTTTTACCTTTGGACGGCAGCATGGTATAGTACCTACTGTGGATAGTGCACTCATTCAAAAAGATCACTGAGATCTAGGGCTGATAATCCCGGGATCGGGATCCCGGGATCCCGGGATTGTATTAATCCCGAATCCCGGGATTAGAAGCATCGGGATTTCGGGATCCCGATATTTTCCGTACAGAAACATCGTTCATAAAGTGTAGCTGATAGTAGGTATGTAAAAAAGCTAAGTGAGTAACAACGCATTACAGTGCAGTTTTATGTCCAAAGATCTTACTTACGCCGTGCAAAGTCGTTATGCACAAGTATTGGTTACATATATACCTAATTGACATTGTTTCATACCGTCTCAGCCTTCACAATGTGGCGAGAGACGAGCTCTCTCTCTCGGCTCATCTCTCGCTCCCCGCGACGTCCCTCGCGTACTCGGTTTAACAGATCATTTTGCACGATGACATACTATGCCGACTATCGAATTCGAGTCCATCGAGTGGGAGGAAGTCGGCCGTCTTCTCTGTGTGACTGTGGGAGCACGTCTGGTGGCTCAGTTACTGTCAGTGCCCCGTGGCTGGACGATCCATGAGGCTGGCCGGGCGCCCTGGGCATGGTTACCGTTAGTGAATAATTATTAATTACGTGCCTTTGTGATAAGCTATAGCTAACTTTGCCAAAATGTCGGATTTTGCTGAATTTAAAGGCAGTGCGGTGTGGGAACAACTTTTGGGATTAACCCTCGCATGTGTAGGGGGGGGGGGTCGGATGGACCCCCCCATGGTTTTTCGCGAATAACTCGCGTAAAAAGCGGCCGATCGCGACGAAACTTTCAGTACCCTCGCATTGATCAATTTTACACCTACCCTGAAAATTTCATGACCCTGACCCAAATGACCTTTGACCTGTGACCTCTTTTCCGAGACCATGTTTGGCCGGAATCGCGATTTCGCGTATGTCGGCTCGCACTAGCCGCGTGTTTGCAAGCTTTCCGTGGTTTCAAACGTTCAAACATGTGATTTGATGTTACTCCCGTGTGTGTCAAGGTCACCTGAAGGTCAGGTCAGGTCATTGACCTTTGGTGACCTCGGGTGACCTCGGTTCACTTTTTCGAGTTTTACATGTTTCTAGGCTAGTTTTTGGAGCTGAATTCGAATTTAGCAACCATTTGAACATTTACGAAGTAGTTTTGGCGACTTCGTAACATGTTACGAAGCTGTCAGAGGCGGTTGACACGTACTACGAATACCCGTCACGACGCCTACTGGTTGACCTGACCTGACCTGACCCGACCTGGTCTAAATGCTTCAAGACATCATCTGTGATCAAAACTAACACGATATTCGTGATCAGCACCCCGAAAAACCCCTTAGCAGCCACACTTTACGACTTTCTAACAGGTCCCGATTTTCCCGACTTTGGGTCATTGACCTGACCTGGAAGGTCAACCAATGACCTAGGACCTTAAAATTGGGTATCATCGGCTTCCTCTCGTCACGGGCAACACGCTCGTTTTTTCCGCGAAGCTCTAGCTCGATCAGGGGCCAAACGGCAAGGGGGGGGGGGGTCCAACCGACCCCCCCCCCCCTACACATTAGAAGCTGGCAAACGCCGCACACATGCGAGGGTTAACTTTTCGCAATCTTCTCTGATGATGACGAAGGCCATAAGGAAAGAATTGGAAATTTTACCTATCTCAGGAAGGACAGGCATGGTAGCGCTGTCCTACAACTGGCTGAAGGGCATAGTTCCTACGAGTGTTGAATCGGAACGAGTGTTTTCCACTGTCGGGAATATCGTCACAAAAGTGCGGTCGAGTCTCGGCGACGAAGTCGTTGATGCACTTTGCTTCCTCAAGTGCTACTACCGTAACAAGTGAATGTGACCAGGACATGCTGCTGGACGCTGGTCAGACGACCACAATCCGTATGCACGTCTACTGTATCCTGACTCGAAATATAAACAAGAAATACAATGATCAATGTCATTCATGCTCTTATATTTGTTCGGGGTGAAGGTGTATGCCTGGTATTGTGTTTATGATGGTAAGGATGCGCCATATACATACGATATTGCAAGAAAATTCTGCTTTGTAGACAGGTTAAAATAAAAACTGCTCAATCCCGGGATCTCGGGATATCCCGGGATTGCATTTCTAAAATCCCGGGATCCCGGGATTGCCAAAAAGTCCCGGGATTATCAGCCCTACTGAGATCCTGTTGTGCACAATGTGACAGCTCCTCTCCTTATACAGATCCATAGTTTGTCTCAGAAAGTTATCATGCAACACAGCTTGTAATCATTGGCTGTATATAAGTATGCCAAAAAAATGTTTATCTAGGGAATGTAATGCTGAGTACATAGGGCAATGTTCACACTTCACAGGCCCAGCTTGCAGACAATCAAATGAAGCATAATAAATTTGCTGCAATTTTGCTATTTTGATGTTTGTATGATGATACTTGATAGAAAGATCAAAAGGGCACATGCTATATTAAATCATGGAGAAACTTGTTGCTTATTATATGTGTTTCTGAAGATCATATGAGAGAATATTAACCCGCGCCCTGCTGGGGGGGGGGGGGTGTTTGAACACCCCCCTTGTGGTTTTTCGCGAATATCTCAAAAACTCCGCGCCGCCGTTTTTGGTACACCTTATCATACATCAATTTTACACATGTTGTGAAAATTTCAGACCAAGGTCATTCAAGGTCAGGTCACCAGGTCACTTGAAGTGACCTCACCTCATAAAAAGTTTCAATGTCTGTCATAGCTACACCGAATGACCGATCGCTTTGAAACTTTCAGCGAATGATAAGGGTAACAGTATCTATAAAATGTATATCTCGGAATTCGGATATCGGTGACCTAAGGTCAGGTCAATTTTGCGACCTCCCCATTATAAGTCAATGGGAGAAAATTGAAATGCGCCTCTTTTGGACGAAAGACATTATAAACACTCCCAAACACTGAATTACAAGTAGTTTAGACACACTGAACATGAAAATGGTGTCCGTGACCCTTGTTTATGCCCTGAGGTCATCTTAGGTCACGAATGGTATCTAACAGTTTTTCGCAAATAACTTTTGATAGAGGCATGCTAGAGCGATGAAAACGCCTTAGATGTGTTCAGCTCGACGATACGGATCGACTGATATGCAACATGACCCTTTCCGGTCAGGTCATGACCTTGACCTGAGGTCAAATTTTCAAGTTGACCTTTCAAGGTCAAATTATAGTTCATTCGATGCGTCTTGACGAGAGGAACACGATGCCGGTAAAAGTAAGCTCGTACAAGGCTTGGGTCAAAAGTTATTGCTGAAAAACTGTTTCCGAAAAAATCGGCTATTTTTGCAGTTTTTGCCCCATGCAGGCAAAACCGTTGACGTTAGGTCAAATCTGAGAGAATTACTCAGAAAGGGCGTTAATAGGGCTATCGAATGCGCTTTTCCGCGGCGCTGTAGCTCTATTGGTTCCCGAGTTATGCGTTGGCTTCTTGGAAATTTTTGATATTCGACCTGGAAATCGGCGAAATTTTGCCTTCAATGACCTCTGGTGACCTGACCTTTGACCTGACCAAAAAATTGACCGAAGTGATTTCGTCATTATTTTTGACGCTCTTTCGAACGCCGCCTTCTGCGTATCGCTACGTGGCCCAGGAGCCGAGTTACAAGGGGGGGGGTGTTCAAACACCCCCCCCCCCCAGCAGGGCGTGGAAATCCAGGACCCCCAGCCGGGCGCGGGTTAATAATGAATGTATTAAATTGGCAGGGTTAAAAATTGGAAAAGGAAACAATAAAGCAATCAGTATCAGCAAGTCTCATTTTATTTTAAGTGTATGTAGATAGTTGTGTTGTTTTGTTGATAGAGAGGTGTAAAACTATGTTGACAGAGAGATGTGTTACTTTGTTGAGAGAGATATGTGACACTATTCATTTTCATGTTTCAGATTCTTTGTCCAATTCAAACAAGAAAGAAAACATGAGTTCTGCAAGCAAGGTTAGTGCATGCAAATGTCAGTCAATTGTTGCTTTCATTTGTGAAAACTAGCCGTCAGAACTAACAACCAGTATAGCGCCTTTTGGGGCGACTAACGGAGCGAGCGAGAGGGTGAGCCTTGCACGTGCGAAATTTCGAGGGGGTACCTCCAGCTGACTTGTGCACGGCACCCTACTAACCGGTCTCTAGTGATGTGCCAAATTCGAGCACAATCGGCCCAGCCGTTCTCGAGATCTGGAAGCGGCACCCTGCACGTGCGCACGTGCAAAATGAGTCCCAACTGACTTTTGCACGGCACCCTACTAACCGGTCCCTAACCATGTACCAAATTTGAGCGCCATCGGTCCAGCCGTTCTCGAGATCTGGAAACGACCCCTGCACGTGCGCACGTGCAGCAGCACCCCAACTCTGGCACATGGATATGCAGTGCCTAGTGGGTGCCTACCTACATGCCAACTTTCAGCGCAATCGGCCAAGTAGTTACCGAGATATTGCAACAATTACAAAAGTGACACCTCTTCGTTTTGCACGTGGCACGTGCATAAGGGGTCACCCACATGCATCGGGAATAGTCCAATACTTGGTAGAAGGAATGAAGCTACCCCACAAAAATTACCGCATGTAAATCGGTCAAGTGGTTGCTGAGATATAAGCCTCGCAAAAGCGTGACCACGGCCGGCCGCTCATACTCAGAAATTTCCGTTACTCTACGTAAGACTCCGCTCGCTTCGCTCGCTCCGTAATTATTCATTGCTTTTGTTTTTCATCACTGGTTACTAGCTGTCATCCTTCACTTATTGCCAAGCATGCAATTTTGTGATTGATGGTATATTTAGAGATCAGATTGCCTGTTGGTGCCTCAAAGCTCATTCAAAGATTATTAATCCAATGTCACTGTCAATGGCAGGTTTTGGCATCAGCAAACACTTTTATGTTTCATGTAGGCAGCCTCATTTGATATGAGTCAAGAGCTGGGATGAACATGATTGCATCTTAATGCCACTTGAGAACAATTGTAACAGTACCTAGGATGGGATACAATAGGGATAAGGGTGGATATTGGATAATAGTTTCTTATTTCTAAGACAACTTAGATACGGAATGGTGATAACATATATAACAAGTTTATCCCCATTGCAATGCGATTGATGTCTACTTCCATTTCAGGTTGGAGAGATATTTTGTGATGCTGGTAAAGCATTCAATAAGCTGGGCAATTTGACAATCCAGTTGCAGCAAGCGTCGCAGCAGGCTCCTAACAGGTAATTTAGCTCATTCATGCTTTTATTAGGGCAAGTTTTTTTTTTTTTGTCTGCCTGGTGACTTTTTGCTTCCTCCAGTCGAGTTGTGAAGCGAAGTTTTTTTTCAGCAGAGACAGCTGCATATGAAACTGGTTGATATTGATTCAGAAACAGACTACCCACAAGAAGCAAAAAGCGGATAACTCGAGAACGTTTCACCGTCGTTCCGCATGAATGCCGTTTCCGATCACCTCCCTATTCACACAGGCATCACGGGTCGGTGTCACCGGCGCACCGAACTTGACTAGCTGTCGCTTTAATTAACAGTCGTGTTGTTTAGATACCTTTATTTTTTTTATTATAATCTCCGTTTACGCATGCAGGTGATACTTCTTTCCGTTCCTTTTGGCTCCCCCACTAAGTGCCCATAGAATTAGAGATGCCGAAAGGATGAGCGCTGTAAAAAAGCTCGTTTTGTACGAACAATCCAGAACGGAAGCCGGGGATGTGGTCACGTGGCGGGTGAACGGCCGAATCCGTACCAGTTCAAGGCGCTGCTCAGGGTGGACATTGTGGGGCTGCTGGGTCAGAACAATCCAATGGTCGATAGTCCGGCGGTCAATATAGTCCAATGGTATCTGAACGACAGGGAGACAGTCCTTTCTGTAAGAACACTCATTAACTTTACTTATACCTGTTTTGCCGTTTGCGGTAGCTTCTGATTGTCATTGTTTTCGGACTTGATTCATTAAAAGGCAAACGATCAATGGCGGTAAATAACTTCATCACTGGCCCTTAGCGTTCAATACATACGCTACACTAGAAGCAATCCGACCGGGGCGTACTCTGATATGGTCTCTGAATGCGTCGCTGATTGGGCTTATATCAGAGGGGGCGGTAAGGTTAGGTCACTCGGCGTCACGCTTCTGCGGCCATCGGGCTGTGTCTGCCCGGTTCAGAGCTCACTCTCAGCTCGCCGCTCGCCGTCCCTGGTGCCGCCCAGTGCGCGCTCCAGCCCAGTTTTCCCAGCACTGGCCGTTCGGGGAAGCGTCTGGGCGTAGTGTGCCGCTGTCCGCTCGTCAGACACTGTCCGCCGAAGCTGATTGATATGATTACCGAGACAGCGGGCTGATGCGCGTGTCAGGAGGACGCCGAGAAACGCCCGAGCGGTCCCCGAGTGGGCGGAAAAAACATGCGTTGTCAAAATGTGACTCCGTTGATTTAGGCAATGAGAATATAACATTACACGAATCAGTATTCTATTGGTGACCACCGTGTTGGTGACTTCATCGTGACGTTGCTCATCAGAATAAGACGTAATCCAGTTTTTGCGCATCAACCCAGAAAGTAACCGGGTTGTTTGTCTTGTGCCTTGTGTCTAAGCAATTCAATAACTGTCTAGTAATCGAGCCTGGTGGGCGGTGGCTGACATGACTGTAGTCTGTCCTGTGGCTGACTGGCCCAGTGCTCTCTCCTATGTCTGTGGGGACCAGTGCTTGGTGCTGTAGCCAATGGAGTCCGACAAGTAGCTGTGCGTGTTTTCGAGACTTTCGTCAGGTGACGCTGCGTCGGGAGTGAGCTGTCGTTGGGCATCCCGATTTTGTTTCGTGTGGACATACGTTCGGTCTGTTTCGGTGTACTCACTACTTACCGTTCCTCTCGTGTTTTGACTGACCTTACGTCCTGCTGTGTCGGTGTGCTCTCACTCGTGTTCTGACTACACTTCGTCTCTCTGTGTCGGTGCACTCTCCGTTCCCCTCTCTCCTTACCCCTCGTGACTGACACTGACGCTTTTGACTGACACTGCGTTCCTCTGTGTCGGTATACTTCCCCTCGTGTTCCGACTGACATTATACGACACTACGACTGACACTACTGACAATGACACTTCTTGTTCCGGCAGCGGGAAATGGCGTGAGGAAGAGATCGAGATGCTGCACGGCGCCGTGCGCAGGTTCGCCTCCGACCTGCAGAAGATCAGCGACACCATGAAGTCTCGCAGTGTGTGAGTAGCCGATCTGGCAGACGTTAGTGATCTCTGGGTCTCACCGGACACAGGACATGTCTTCGAAAACAATCAGGAAGTCTCACGACTGGCCAAGATATACCTAGCAGATGGTTCAGATAATGTATGATCACGTATCAGTATGTATCAGCATGCATGTTATTATACTTGAAAAACGCATGCATCAATGTATTTTACGTCTGTCGTGAAATGCATTAATGCAAGATATCTGTAAGTATGGTTCCAAATAAGTGCATGGCATTGAGGTTGCATTGATACGCGTTCTCTGGTTCTGTTACAAGCCGCAAAAGTACCCCGTCCATCGATGTTTCATCAGTTGACCTGATAGGTAGTTTCTCAGCAGTATGTAACGAAATCATAAGATGTTAAAGTCTTATTTCGTTGGAAGCATCTTTGTATTATACAATGCACATCCTCTTCCTCAAATATTGTGGCCAATACGTGAGTCTGTATCAAACTGAACTCACACGTAAGGATCAGTACCATGTCTGGGAATCATGCCAACCAGCACCATGTCTGGGAAGCGTGCAGTGCCGACGCTGCGGGCCACTGAATGGCTGCTCGCCTTTCACGTGGTTCCAGGGACCGTTGGCCGGCAGCCCCCACAGACCAATGTGCCCCGGTAGCGGCGCGGCACCCGCCTTCCGCGAACCGATCGCTCTCGCTTTGCCTTTAATCGGGAGACATTCGGCGGTGATGGTTCTATTGACGGTCTCAATACGGATATTGATAAGCTGCTCTGAAATGTCAGCCGCCGGCAGAACGGCGAGGAAGGCAGAACTTTTCTGGGTTCTGCGTGCTGGCGGCGCTGATAAGTTTTCTGGGAGTCGCTGCGTCGGTCGGCAAACGTAGAACGTAACGTAGTGAGCACGTAGCGTAGTCAGGCATATTATTTTAAGGTGAGAATAATTTTTATCCGAGTCAAGTCATATGCCACCCAGAGCGTATGTGGTGATAATGTGTTTACATTTGAGTTTTTTCCTTATATTGCTTCACCATGTATCATAATCGGTTATGTGAATCCAATGTGACGATAGCTTTCGATACACTCACGTAAATTATGATAACTTACTGCAGCCAAGTGCTATTTAATAGGCACTTCTCGAAACACAGCTGTGTTGCACTCGTACTCTACTGAACCCGTTCCCCTGCCCTCAGGAACCAGATCCGTAACGCGCTGAAGAAGAAGGCGTTCGACGAGGCCGGTCTGCAGGCCCAGCAGCAGCAGCAGCAGCAGCAGGCGGCGGCCAAGGAGCAGGCCAAGCTGGCCGCCCAGTCGGACGTCACTCTGAACATGCTGAACGCCGGCGAGTCGGAGGTGGATGTTGAGGAGATGGACCACTACGACGGGCCCACCGAGGAGGTGTCGCCGTGAGGGGTGCTCGCGGCATGCCGTGAGAGCGAGAGGGACAGTGGTTCGTGAGAGGGATAGTGAGTCGTGTTTCGTGAGACGGACAGTGGGACAGGTTTGTGAACCGGACGGCAGTGGACTGTGGACTGATGGGACAGTAGACTGGTCTGTGTTCGTGTGTTCGTGAGAGGGACGGTGGGGTGTGTTCGTGAGAACAGTGGGTTGTGTTCGTGAAAAGGATGGTGGGAGGTTGTGTTCGCTTGTTTGCCACGACGAACGGGCAGCGGCTGCCTTTTGGGGCAGATCTGGACCTCAGGCGTTCACCTGATAACTTACCCGAAAACGCTGAGTCTGTGAGATGTTGCTGGCGTGGATGGTACGTGATGGAAGCGTAACAGGTCTTGAGATGTTCGCGGTGTCTCAGTAAAGCATCACCAAATGTAAGCGGTAGCCAAGAATGGTATGTTTGTGTTTTTAAAGGCAGGTGGTGTACTTTGGTCGTCTTGTCGAGGTGTAGTTGCAGTTTTGTCTTCATCGCCAAGGCTTCCCTTTGTGGCTGCTCTCCCCTTTGGCGCTAAACTTTAGTAAGGTCGTGCTCACTTCTTGCCTGCCTTATCCTGAACTTTTAAGAATTTGTTTGTGTTTTTTCCATGGACGGCTCTCATCCAATTAGTTTCTGAAGTCAGGGTGTAGGTGAAGGTGTACGAATATCCCCTTTTTCATATATTGACTGTAAATTGGGATAATGTTGTACAGATAAATATTCGTCATTATCGTAATGTCGCTTCATTTCATCACACTCATCGTACATTTGATGCTGTTTTAACAGCTGTGTCCATTACCATAAATACATCGCTGAACTTCGGATATTATCTGTTGGAACAGGCCGTTCTGATTCGGTTAACGAAGTGAAATGTGACGCATAGTGAATATTTAACTGGCATTAACGGTGGCTCTAATTTGGTTACATGATGCATCTCATTTATAATGACGAGATCCAAGAAAAATAAGGATTTATGTTTTTACTCTCGCAGTGCGTAATGGAGCTAAACAGGACTGCCACTTGCAAATCAGGATCTCATCAATCACAAGGGCTCAATACTACATGAGGTCATGAGATATTTATCAAGTGACCTCCGTGCTCTCATTCAAAAAGACGTGAATCTACAGCGAGTCATTAATCTGATGCCATCTTTGATTACTTGGAGCAATATTTTCCGCTACTCTTTGACAATGCCTTGCAGTTATTGTGTATTGATGATAAATCGAGCGCCGAAAACTTCATTTTTGAACCGATTCATGTTTTTTTTTTTCAAACTGCGAACATAAATAGCTGTGTCCTGCAGTGCGGTAGCCTGTGCAGTGTGCAAATGGTATCCGGTTTCGGTTGATACGTTGAAATGACTTAGAACAAAGCGCATCATCCTTTCTGACTTTCCAAATGCTACCCGGTATTCTGGAGATCATTCGCCCGGTTGATGTCACTGCCTTTATTGTTGTTATTTCATGGCATCTAATTTTATAATACCGGGGAAATCAGTCACTGAAGTCAGCCGCAGCTCGCTCGAAAAGTTTTGTAGGACTCTCATCGCCTTTGAAACCCTGTATATGGATCCCTCGCACGTCACGCTGTCGCATCGTTCCAGGATACCATTAAATTTCGACCGTAATCCCAATGGGAGCGCGGTTCGCAGCGATACGCGGATATGTTTCAGAGCAGAAACTTACCGCGTCACTACCAGCTATATTTGAGACGCGGTGACGGTAGCAGAATCAAATATACCTCGGCTCGTTTTATCAGTTATGGAAGCAAGTGCATACGGTCCCGTGGCCATTGGCTTCTCTGAAGCCCGGAGAAGGTGGTAGATCCGAGTATAGAAGCTCTTCTCTCTGGGCTGGTGGCAACTGTCTGGTGGAAAATTCTGAGCGATGGTTGCAAAAACGGCCGGCGCTGTCGAGAGCTGTCCGCTGTGCATATGTTTTCTAACGGCACTTCTGGTTTTCGGGCGCTGTTGACCGACTATAGGAATGGGAAGTATAGCTACGAAAGAAACCGTATCGAGGCTTTATACGGTTATATGACGCTGCAGTAATTAGAAAGTGGCTACCAGCTGTAGGTATACCTTTCACACACGTGCACATCAGCTCGCCCTGGCAAAGTATACATATATGGCTACGTCTCCCGCAAATTCTTTGGTCCATTCTGAAATTGACGCTCATGTTTCTATGAGCCTGAGAATAATCGGATGTCCGTTTGTTTAGCAGTTCCGGTGATGCATGCCTGAAGTCACATGATGCACATGATGATGTTAATTACTGCCATCCCAAGGACCATTGCCGCTTGTAGAAAGGCCGTAACATGTAAGTTTAAAATCCAAGTCTGCTATAGTATGTCAGACTGACTATTGTGTGAGCAGACTTGGGTTCCGTTTAATCATTTATCATGTCTCATTTTTTGGATGTATTTAAACGTCATCAATCAAATACCGATATTGCATGTGTTTTCGGACTCAATCCACTCACGCTTGATTCTGTCAACTGCTGCAACAAACAAGTAAATGAATAAACAATCAGCCCCACTGAGAGGCTGCTAGATGTCTGGCGCCGCTGAGCCTTGGCTGAGCCAATCTAATTCCTGGCGTCTGCTTCGCGTTGCGTCTGGCGTGGGGTCGGTGGCCGGGTGAAAAGTGACCCAGATTTCTGCGGCATTGTCCCGACTGGTCAGCGGGTAGAGTAGCGCCATAGTAGCGAAGCTTTGTAGCGTCACCACCGGTAGACACTCGAGTAGTGTGTCCGTGTTTTGCATTTGATGGCATTGCAAGTCATCAGCTTTTATTGCTCCTAGTTTCACAAAAGTACGATTCAGCCGACATAATACGAACTAACTTATCGTGATGAAAGTTGCAATTTTCAAATTGACTGAAGAGCTCAAGTTTCGGCACTAATGGACGTTGGACGACCCCATAAAATGGCTTAGTTGATGTGAAAAACGTTATTGGCCCGGCGACGGGCGGAAGGAATAGTCTATCATGCACGATCACTATGACTAGGTACTATAGCACTAGACTGCGTGCTGACATGAATATAGAATACGCGGAGTCTTACTATAACGCTGTCCTGTCGGTTATATGATGGGCTCAAACAGGACCCGGACCCAATTTCTTCGCCAGTTCCGGCCGGCGGAAGCCAGCACGCGATAGCCATCGCCGTATGATTAGTCACCTTGTTCGTGGCCAATAAGTCCGAATAATAATGTCAGGCCCCAACCACACGGCAGTCATGAAGTCTCCCACCACTGATACCCTGCAGATTCTCTTGCGGATTCCCTAAGCTCCTCTCTGCACTGGGACCTCTGCCGCTGACGCTAGCTGTCCATTCCTCGAGCACCTCTCCACGCTCTGTCGTCTGACAATTGTAAATGGGAGCCGCGCACGGTCGCTGACGCCAGCGCTGACTCGAGGGCCGCGCCGACGGCGAGGTGGAGCCTAATGTGATGACTACCTCCGATCGGACGCAGATCAGAGCTCTGATGACGTTATCATGTCGGTCGCTATGGAATGAGAGGACTCGGAGCCGCGCGCGGGGCTCAGCTCGGCAGGGACATCTAATCAATGGACCCGAAGTGTGTTTCGGAATATGGGAAAGCTGCGAAGTAAATCTGATGCGACTCCCACGTCGTGACGGTGCATGTCGTCCGATGCATTACGTCGGATCGTAATGCATCGAGACAAGATTGTTTTATTTACATATCCGCCCCTCTAACGCCGCTCCTGAGCCACAAAGTGACAAAAGACGTTTGGATTGGAATTGTGTTCTTCGCGTATTTGGAGTAAAGAAAAGACAGATCTGGTACAATTGCAGGGTGTATTCATTATTTTCCGGTCAGGCTAGCCGGGTTAAAATTGCTTTCATTACAGACATAGCCGACAATTCGTGTTGAATAAGTGGGGAAACACGGAACAGATATGGTAGTTGGTGAGGTTAAACCACGTTACATTTGGACATCAAACCGTACAACTCTGTCGCGGTAAATTAAACGGCTGCTTCGCATGTAACATCTGTACAAGACAAGACATCGGGATATTGTTTTGATAGCGTGTACACGGCGATCACAGGTGCAGATCCTAACCGTTTCCAAGTCCTTGGTTAGGTGTCTGACAAAATACATGAGCTTTCACACCAAGTAACACCCGAGTCGCGATCACACCGAAGGAACCCGCGGCTCCGTATGATGCACCAATTACGGTCGAACCGCTTTCCAAGTCCTCGGTAAGACCTTTCTTGATACCACAGCAAAAAATGTTTTTCTCTTTTTGGTATTGAAATGCACAATATGTTCTCTTATATGCCATTTTCTTCTTTATTTTGATCTTGAACTCCGAGTTTCGACAACTGCCACCAAATCTCGAAGGACAAACCGAACCTCCTTGTAAGCGAAACATTCACTTCTGACTTTTCAAGCTTCTGCTTCCCTCTCGGGTGAGCCCGCCTGGCCGCCGCTGCGGTACAGTTGCGCGGCTAGTGTCGGAGTCGAAGGCCAGTCAGGGGCTCGGTCAGCCCCGCGCCGTTGCCGTGGGTGGCCGGCGGCGCATCCGACTCGGCCAGGTCGATGCTGTCGCTGCGGAACGTCTCCAGCTGTTCCGTGCTGGCCACATGCTGCAGGGGCCTCTGAGCGCTCGGCTGCCGGCACACAGGCGACGGTGAGGGAGTGACTTTGGAGGAGTGAAAGAGGATAGTTGCTGGCACACAGGGGACACTGAGGTAGAGACAGTGGAGGAGAGGCAAGTTATATAGCAGTGAGAAGTTCAAAGAGGGGTGATGACGAAGGAGATGTGGCGGATGAGGGAGGGATGGCGAGGGAGGTCGTCTGTCGCAACAACGAAGACCATATATTTATGCACACTCAATCATGTTTTTCGGGGGCTGATCCTAGTGAAGTGTCATAAAGTTGTTGAACGACCACGTTTGTCCGTATATTTTCCTTCTACCAGCACCAACTATTCACGTTATAACGCCATACGCACTGACCTTCGGATGCATGAGGACGAAGGGCAGCTCGGCCACCAGCTCTCCTCCGAGGGCGCCGAGGAAGAGCTTCACCTTGGCCGAGTAGGAGACGACGATGCCGAACACGTCCCGCTGGTCCGGGTTGGCCAGCCTGGACGGCGCAGATAGCAAGGTCATGTCCTCTGATCAAAGTGTCATACAGTGCAATCAGAGGGAACCGTATATACCACGCAGAGCACGGCGTGCAGTTGGTATGACAGCCCTGTACCGGTAGGCAGCACTACGTGATGCTGAGGAAGTCGGTGGATAATTGGCACAACTTGTGTCATATGGCGTGCTATTGGCAGAATTGTGGCCGAACAGCGCAGGACGGGTAATTTTTGCGTGGCACACGCATTACGCGAGCCAGATAGGACCACGCGGTATGTAATTAATTGCATTTCTCAGATCCATTCCGAACCAGTTTCTACCGAATTTCTGACTCGCAGCTTTTATGTCGCGCCTATATCTCACCTTTTGAAACCTGACCTACGGTGGATAATTGGCACAACTTATGTCATATGGCGTGCTATTGGCAGAATTGTGGCCGAACAGCGTAGGACGGGTAATTTTTGCGTGGCACACGCATTACGCGAGCCAGATAGGACCCCGCGGTATGTAATTAATTGCATTTCTCAGATCCATTCTGAACCAGTTTCTACCGAATTTCTGACTCGCAGCTTTTATGTCGCGCCTATATCTCACCTTTTGAAACCTGGCCTATAATTCTGAGCCAGACGGTCTCAGACTCAAAACTATCTAGCTCGCGGAGTTTTTGCGCCCGGTGATAACGGCTGGCCCCACCCACAGCACCGAGCTTCCAACACCCTCATCCGCAGTACCTATACGGTTATCCCGGATCACAGCGTCTTCGTCTGTGAGCTCTGGGTGCTTCCATCAACTAGTATATCACCCTTACCTTTTCAAAACCATCTCGCCCACCCAGGGACTCCTCGCATCTCGCCCGTATGTGGACTCGCCCTTCTCCCATCCTCGGACTCACAGTGTGCTGGAGGCGAGTCCGGTGTCCTGCTGCTTCAGCTTGCCGTCCAGCGCGATCCCGCGCCGGTTGTTGTTCTCCAGGCTGGGAGTCATCATGATGACCTTCTGAAGGCACTGGCCGGGCTCAACCGGACATCCCTCTCTGAGGTCAAAGGGAGGTTTATCACAAATCCGTATCCGTTTTCCTCAGCAAACAACTAAGGCTTCGTCCGAGCAATGTAACGTTCATCGATCGATCAGAAAGTAGCTGGCGCCAGTTGAATTGAGTTTAACATGCTTGAAAACGCAGTGCAGAGCCTCTGCCCTCTGCTTAGCCTAGCAAAGAACATCGTAGCTTTCAGCGTCACACACCACAGTCATATCCAGTCATTCGGTCATCTGATTCATCGCACCCGTACCCGTACCATCCTTCCCCAAACTCTGGCCGCACTCACTCGGTCTCGAAGCTGGCCACCGTGGCCTTGTAGCTGCCATTGGAGAAGATGCACACCTCGACTCCCTGCTGGATGGAGCACTTGATGCGCTTCACCGTCTTGTTGCTATGGTTACGGATGCAGATGTTTACCGCCACGCTTTCGCCGTGGTGGTACAGCTGTAAAAAGAAACGAAATCGAGGCGTGCATATTTAAATACAACGGTTTATATATATGGTAAGTTCTGAATATAGCTTGAATTTATCAATGATTTAGGTAACAAAAGTTCTCTTAATTAAACACCGCCAGCATCAAGGGTGTCTGTCACAAATTCCATCCCATAATGGTTCGGTAATGTGCTGACGACTGCTGTACTTTCTAACTCGCAAACTACGGAGACAAAACAGTGATTTCCAATGAACTGTTTGCTTTTGATTGTATAACTCAAAGGTTTATTCATATTTTTTACAGTGTAGGAGCTATGTAAGTTGTTTCGAGGTCAGGTCAGATAATATCATTCATGGTAGCGGTAGAGGTAGAGGCCATGTAGCTGGCAATTTTGTAGATTCAACTGTCACTGAAAGTATTTCACTTTTGGCAATCGTGAGCCTAGTTCCCCGTTGTGCCTTCCTTCCAATTTAAAGGGATTCAAAAGGATCAGTAATGGCAAGAGCGAAAGGCCGAAGAGCCCAGGACTATCATAGCAGAGTGCCCTGAAATGTATCACCGGACGACGGATGTTAAACGGAGAACGTCAAACCCCTGATTTCGACTCGCTCATCCTTTCATCTAGTGCTATATGGACCGGCCGACTCGGCATGACCTGTTGATGCTAGTGCTGGAATAAAATGTGAAAAATAACTCCCCTTTTGCGAATGAAGGAAGCCTGAAGTGTTGTCGAGCTCACACGCTGCTATCAGATACAGGATAGGTAGGGGAGAGTGGGGAAAGATGCCCAGGGTTTGACTATGTCATATATTATTCGAAAATGACGATCGGAAAGCCAAAACTTGGAGCTTCAACGGAAGCCGACATCATTTTTCTCCAAAAATATCACTCTCTCGTGCCTGAAACATGATATTTTTTTTTGCTATTAAGCATTTTCCTGAAGAAGTGAAAGGGGGCATCTTGCCCCACAGGGTGGAAAAGACGCCCCCTGGCGTTGGGTAAGATGCCCCCTGCACTATAAGTGACAAAAATAGGCACGTGAATCGCCTGAACGAATCAGTAGTCCCTTCGAGCCTGCAGTAGACACCAAACGTCATCGTAAGGGCCCTGAAAAGTAGTCGTAAGGGGCTTCAGGGGTCATCATTAGGGCCATCATAGTCCAGCGCGGCCAAACAAGCCTCCGTGGTGGCGTTCGGAGACCACTGTGGGGCCCTTATAGGTCTTCATGATGCTTGAGGGCCCTCGAGCCCATCGTGGGGACCTCAGATGCCAGCGCGGCCCGTGGAGCCAACGTGGGAGCCCTCAAAGGATGTCGTGAGGGGCCCTGGAACCAATAATGGGGCCCACAGAGGCCGTCGTGAGGGCTCTCAGAGTCAGATGCCGCCCAAAACAGGCCCATGTCACTCCACTTTTGATGACATCATATGGGGGCCTCAGGACAATAATGGCGCGGCGCGCCACAATCGCTTCAAAGCTACTTACCAACAGTTGCCATTTTTGAAAATATTATTTTGAAATAAAGTTACAAGTAATAAAAATATTGTAATAAAGTTGTTGAATAAATCGATACCATATCTAAAAACTTACTGAAAAATGATTTATTCATAGTAAAAATATAAGCTCGATGCGTTTTTACGTTGCTTTCCTTCAACTGCAGAGGGTTTTTAAATCGTCTATATCTTCAAAACCGGCCATTTCTTAGCATATTGCTGCTCTTTTTTATCGCTAGAAAATTAGTTGAACTTTCCAATGACATCAATGGTTGAGCAATATGTGTAGAGTGTCATCAACAATCTTCAAATGAAGTTAGTCATTTTTACGTTGTAAAGGAATGGAGTACCCCAATCGAGCATCAGGGGTGACGTCACTCAGGATCTGTCTCTGATTGGTCGGCGGGAGAGTGACTGTACCTTCTATAGATGGCCTTGGCCCAAAAAGTCGCTGTGTGGGCCGAGAGACCGGCATGGGGAGCACCCGACCGTACTGGACTCTCAATACTCCCAGATCGGCTTTTGTCTCTCATCACAAGTATGTAATAAATGATTTGACGGGCTGCTTGAAGGACAGCCTATGGATTTAGGGGGGCGTCTTTCCCCATCAGGACAGGGGGCATCTTACCCCAAGGTACCGAAGTAACATTAAATCAGCACAATTTGTTAGCCATAAAACTACACCCTGAAACAAACTGTTTGGGACACAGTACACGCATGTTAATGTATCACGACTATAGCAAGGGACGCAAAAATTATCTACCTTCTTTGATATTTATAATGTTTTGACGCCAAAATATTTTTTGAAAGCAGCAAATAAAAAACATGCAATCACCAGCCAGCCGTTGCCCAACTGAGCTTCGCAAATTTTTGTGCAGTTAACAAGGCAGGCTTCCGCTTTGCGCTAAGAACATTAATTTCCAGGTTCGATTCTTTGTTTCCCCGCTAGAGGGGGTGGGGCGTCTTTCCCACCCTGGGCATCTTACCCCACTCTCCCCTATGTAAGGATGCATTCGCACCCAGCTTGTAAAGAATTCATATCAGCTTCCATTTAAATTCTTTGCATTGCATTGAATTTAGAGCTTTGCTCCAGGCAGGTTTTCGCGCGATGTTCCTGGATTATGGAAATTGTAAAAGCACGAAACATATCCGCATGATGTGTTGGACGGCGTCTTCTCAACATATGACAGCATCTGGGCCTGGTATTGATCGCTGAAGCGAGCCACGGCTCTGTTTGCGAATTTCTGTCGCACCAAGGGCTGTTCGGCTGTTCACTGTTCACTGTCGTGCCGAGCCTGATTATGATGATCCTTGACTTAAACTATGTAGGTATTTAGTAACTGCCGGTGCCGGAAGCTGCCCGAGCAAGTCTGGGGCTCGGATGTTCCCACGAATAGGTATTATAGTCGCAGCGAAGGGACGGTTTAAAGGTAGTGTGCCACCTTTGAAAGATTTCCCATTTTATTTTTCCTATGATAAGAAGCTTCTGTTTTTACCTAATATCGCAAAAAAAATCAAAAATGGGCCTGGAATAGTGCCTTTTTCGCCTAAAAGTTTATCGGTTTTTAGATATGTATAACAACTGTAGTGGGCTCACCTGCAAACAGGCGTCGGGCAACAATCGCGAATGCGGCGCACTTGTGACAATAAGCAAAGGTCATTATGGTGTTACGACCATACGACGTACGGGAATGAGTTATCAGCTGTCTAATCGTAGACAACACAATGTCGAGCCTTAAACTGTAAGCCCGTATTGGTATTGTTTCTTTTATTTGGCTGTCGAACATTATTTATGGTTTGAAATATGATTTTATGTAAAATAATTGATATGAAAAAGCCGTCTTAGAAGTTATGACCCCATTTCACCACACGCAAGTGGCAGAAATGACAATGATCAGCTGACGCATTTTTATTGGCCGAAGTCAGAGCGCGCAGCCCGACGCACCACCACCGCACCACAAAGTATGAGCAGAAGCCGCGCCCAAAGCCAGGGCCCCGGTAACGTGAGGTAGCCGAGTCGGGGCAGCGTGCGCTGACCCAAGCCGGGGCCGCAGCTTTGGGCGCGGTCTACCGCATCCCCGGGCTATCACATGACACCGGGAGGACGCGCGGCTCCGGCTTGGGTCAGCGCACGCTGCCCTGACTCGGCTACCTCACGTTACCGGGGCCCTGGCTTTGGGCGTGGTCTAACGCACCACCTAACAGGCGTGTTCGAAACCGCAGGAGCTGATGATGAACGGGTTTATCGAAACTTGATTGGATGAGCATATCGGTAATAGCGATTTCAGTGTGTGCATTTATTGTTCATAGTGGTGTGAAATGTGGTTGGGGTACGACCGACAACCCGTCGGGGCGAATTTCGCACTGGGGTACTCAAAATTTGAAGAATTTAAGACGTTTCCATGAGTTTTGAAGGTATGGATAAGTTCTAAAAATCCGGTTCTCCTTATCTGGGCCATTAACTCCATACGGTCCAAGAAAGCTGGCACACTACCTTTAAGTGACAGTTGTGAAGTTAAGTCTGATTGCAGTCAACAACCATAAAGCAAAGTGCCCAGCATTTTGTTCTGTTCAGTTTTTTTGTTTACTTCCAGTCATTTTTGTCTCTGCATCTGCATTTTGCTAATCGATGTATTGTCAAAGTCGATTATAGTTCGGCTCAATGCTAATCGACTTTGGATATTAGCTCCCTCCATCGCCCGTCTGAGCGCTCCCAGACCAGCCTGGATGTTTCCAATCACTCCGCACTGGACTCCCCGCTGCTCAGAAGACGTTAGTCCTCACCGTTATGTAATATTCATGGCTATCATTGCAAGCCAGTCGAGTGCATCAACCGATGGAGCATTATTATTGTACGGATTGCGCGGCTCCGTATCACGCCCCTCTCACCTACTCCAGCAAGTACAAGTTATGTAACGAGCAGCGCTAGAGCCTTCTCCCATTAGTTCATAAACTTGCTTAGGTATCCGGCTTTAATTTAATCACTGATGAGCATACCATTGCCTCTCGAATGTTTGTTTTTGTTATAATACATTCGTTATTTCAAGTAGCAAGCTTGATAATGTTTTAAAGAGGAAAATACATTTTTAAAAGGAAGAAAACATAGGTACATAAGTAGCAATTTATTCGTTGAGTTATACTCCAATAAACCATATTAAGTCCATTTCAGTGAAGCTCCGTGTGATGGCGGCCGCAGGATGAAAGCAAGGCCGTGTATGATGGAAGGGTGTTGTCGATAGATGATTTGAACTGTGGTAAAGACTCTGTGATTTGAACTGCCTCGCCCACCTAGTAACCTACCTAACTACTCTCCAAAAGATAAGTATTCAGTGACGGTGGACGAAATTATTGCCAATTAAAATCGGTGAGTAGGCGGGGTCTGTCGTCTACCTTTGCAAAACTTGACAATTTTGCATTTTTCCAGTGGGAGGCAGGCTAGAAACTTCCCAATAGTCCCTCTCTATATCTGATAGAGCTGACCAAACATTTGGACTTCATTTCAGTCACGGCCCGCTCCCCCCCCCCCCCCCCCCCAGCTCTGACCCCGCTTTGATGGCCACAAACCGTGAAAGGCTCAAAGCTGACACTGCAGAATGCAGGAACCGACACAAAAGGCGATTATCCGCTTCGACTATCGGTCTTTGATGTGCATCGACAGACCACGTAACCATTGCACTACATTTGTTTACGTTTTTCTGGTTCGATATCGTACACTGTGTGGCACACATTGGTGCGTTTGTGTTTGTGTGCGATGGTTTTATTGCGCTGTGCTGCCCTAGCTGACCGGTAAATTGGCACACTTCGCTCTCCTTTGTCCGATAGGAGGCTGCGCTGCTGGCTGATATCGACACAAACGCCAACCGACTGCTCCAGTGCTAATGGCTCTCTTCTTCCCTCGTCTCGACACGCCCGACCGATTCTGTCCGAGGTACCAACCGACATCTAACACCGAGTTAGCAGCGTAGACAACGGTTTGCAATTACCAGATCGGCAGCAATGGGCCGCTGAACACAGCGAAGCTAAATGATCTTGAGCTGAGCACAATGGGCGCGCGCCGGAGCGCAAAGCGGTGCGATTTTAGACGCAGCATAGATCGATTATAATAGACCCGTAAATGCAACTTTATCTATAAGCTGTAACTAATGACATTTAATGATGACGCCACTGACCTGTTTGTCGAGCGTGGCCTCGAGCTCGAGCTCCCCGGGGCTGAGCATGAAGTCCTTCCTGACAACGGTACACGGCTGTCTGCCTCCCTTGGACGGCGAGTACTGCACCTTCCGGATGTTCAGTGCCACAGTCGCCCTGCCGAATGGGACACAGGGGAGAAGGCATTAGATTGTGCGACAGTGCAGGGATTAGCGATGGTAATAAAGAGCTGGATAAAACGCAACGTTTGCCACTGGCCGCAGGACTGCGGATTTTAAGTAATTGAGTAGCGATGCGCTGCCATCGTTTCCTGCTATACATTGACTGAATTCCAATTGATTCGGCTAGAAGTTGCGGAAGCTGCGAGGAAGTCTCACGGCATGGGGTCGAGCGCCGTCGTTGGGAGCTGCCACACGTACCGCACGCGGCGGGTCTATGTGGGTCGACAATTAGGGGTGTAATGAGATTCCGCCGACAACGTGACACTTTGGTGCGTCACCCAACCGGGCTAACGCGTCGTAATTATGCAAATGAAACTAAAATGATAAAAGCAAATCCTGTTCCGTTAAGTTTATTCGCAATTGAGGAATCCAAGGGCTGCCGCTGCAAGTGAAAATGAAATTGGCCAAGGATCACATGTGTTTCAAGCATTCTGAGACATTTTCAAACTTATAAGATGCTTTATTTGCCCCTTCTGCTGCAAAAAAAGCTCGGGACAATTTTTGTTTACATAATGCGCACCTGCTAATTCCTTTCCTAATCAAGAGGCAAAAGGAAGTAGGTATTTACAACAACAACAAAAAAAATATAATAGCAAGAGAGATCTATCGGTGTCTAGACGTGAATAGCCGTTTTCAAGACGGTTAACTGGTACACATTTGGTGCAGATTAGGTCGAATTAGGCTCAGTGTGTTTCATAAAAGTTATCAGTTTGGGTTGCACAGGTGTTTACATACCTCATTTTTTAATTCATTTGACATTATTTTCGCGTAAAACACTGAAACAAATTCATGATGTGGAGATATTTATTGTAAAAGAGAGTTGGTGCAGATTTGGTCAAATTAGGTGCACTCGCCAGGTAGCCCGTCGTGAAAACGGCTACCTATCATATAGTAATTTTGGCTGAGTTTGCAATACACAAGCTCCATCGCTCCCTGCACACAATCTCCATTCCTCCCACAGCGACGCACCTTTTGTGTGACCTGTCCAGCTCTGAGTCGCCGACAAACAGTTTGAGGATGTACTCGACGCCACAGGGCGCGCCCTGGTCCGTCTCGCCGGGCTGCAGTGTGACCGAGGAGGGCGCGTTCTGGGGCAGGTGAAACGTGAACGGCACGGCGTGCGGGCCGAGCTTCTTCAGCAGACGCTCCTGCCGAATAGAGCGGGAGGGGAAGGTGAGGGTGGTGGAGGCGGGTGCGTGCCTTGGATGATTACTATGGACCGATATTAGTAATATGTAAGAGTGGGTATCGAGAGATTTGCAAAACGCGGCTCGGTACATTAACATGGATAATACATCATCTAAAGATCAAGATTTTTCATGCAGTACAGGTAATATCGTCATGTCTTTTGCACCTGTATCCGTAATGGCGTTCGCATCCATGAGCGAAAGTAATGTAATCAGCGACGCATGTCTGGCCGAGACACCAGGTTTTTCCCCTGACATCGTCTCCTACCGAGACCACTGGCGGGAGCTGAGCGTCCACCCACCTGCAGTTTCGACATGTTGGCCGTGTCTGTGTTGACGCTAGGGTAGACCTGTTCGGAGGCCAGGTAGATGTCCTTCTGGAAGTTGAGGCCCATCACCTCATCCTCCTCACGGCCGTAGCGGAACGAGCAGATCACTTGCCCGTACACCTGACGGCCGTCCAGGTACGACGGGTCCACCAGCAGGACGCCATCTGACCGCACAGAGGTCACCAGGGGTCACAAAAGGTCAGGGCACAACGAGTCGGCACTAGCAGGACGCCGCCTGGCAGCACAGGGGTCACCAAAGGTCACAGAAGGTCACGGGAGGTCAAGGTGCTACGGGTCCACTAGAAGGATGCCGTCTGACCGCACATAGGTCACATGAGGTCACAGGAGGTCGGGATGTGACTGATCCGCCAGCAGGACGCCATCTGGTCGCATAGCGGTCACTGCAGGTCAGGTCAAGATGAGTGATGACTATTAACGAAAAAAGAGATAAAAGTGAAGACGATCGACCATGAGTAACGAAAAACTTTTATTTTGGGGTTAACACTTAGCAATGAGAAAATCTGAACAGCAATTTAGCATAATAGCTTATACCAAATGTTTTGTATACACCATCTTCTTTCTTTTTACATTTCTGTCTGACAGCGCATCGTTGAAAACCGTTTTTCAACGTCATCACAAGACTGCTCTTTTTGATTAGGCTATCGTGAATTTATACTTCTTGCTTTGTCGCCATGAACCATATTGATCGAAAAGGATACACCGTAAGTTTGGTAACTATATATTCACCTACTTCGGGATAAATAAAAGGGAAAGTGAGGAACGCAACTAACAAATTTTGAAATTCGAAATAGGAGGTGCTGTGGCTTATTGAGAGTCATGTTCAAATCGCTCAAAAACAAGGAATCCCTCAAACAATAATGCCGAAACTTATCGAAGTGGCAACATGGCTGTCTGTAAGGAAACCGGTGGATACCAGTCTTTCAGTTTGCACTCCACCATATTATCAGTGTCGTACGTAAACTTATCAAGATCTTAATAAATCATCAATTGAAGGACACAATCATTCTTAGACGAGATGTCTGAGAAGGAAGACGATTCGCCAGACGTCCCTAGGCCAGAGCCGGAGGAAAACGCGGCCGAGCCGCCTCAGTCGGAACTATCGCCGGTTGATGACCCGACCAATGTCGTCCCGGAGAGTCCAGAAGTGCCCGCAGCTGCTCCAGAGTCCGAGACCACGGATGTGACTCCTGCTGCCGCAGAGGCGGTCGAGCCACTCGCGTCAGTAGCAGACGGAGATACGCCAGATGCGAATGTGGCGACGGCGATGGTCAGTTCGTCTGCAACCCATGTTACCTCATCTCCTAGTGGATCGAAGCAAGGAAGCGCTGGCTCGCGCAAGGATGTCCCGCACAAATCCTCGTCCACTGCTGGAGTACCGACTATACCGCCCGGCCCAGCATCCATAGCTTCTCCCGAGAAACACCAGCCAAAAGGTGATACATCTCCTGCAGAGTGTCAGTTTGATCTGGAGAAGATCTGGGCCGATCCCATTGAGTTCCACGATGTGAGAAGCATTCTTAGCCAAATTTGGGCCCGAGATGAGACGGTCATACACAGCATCCTTTCGGAAATCTGGGCCAAACCTGCTGTGCGGGCTATACTGTCAGAAATTTGGGAAGAAGTGGTGCAAGTTGTTGAACCAAAGAGTGTTTTGAGTGATATTTGGTCAGATCCGCCGGTGCATGTCGACATACGGAGTATTCTCAGTCAGATATGGAGTGACGACAACAAACAGCGACTGATCAGCATACTCAGTGAGATCTGGAGTACCCCCGCGGTGCGCTCGATACTGTCGGAGATATGGGGCTCTGGCTCGATCCGTTCCATCCTCAGTGATATCTGGACAGTGCCGGTCCAGAAAGTGGACATTCGCAGCGTGCTCAGCCAAATCTGGTCTAGTGACCATGACCAACCGCCGCCTAAGAGTATTCTGAGCGAAATATGGTCCACTCCCGCCGTCCAGGGAGTGCTGTCTGAGATATGGGGCTCTCCCAAGCTCCGTTCGGTGCTCTCAGAAATATGGAAGGAGCGTGTCGAGAAGGTCGACATCCGCAGCATCCTCAGTCAGATTTGGTCAAGCGATAACGACGATAAGCACGTGTGCAGCATTCTGTCTGAGATCTGGGCCACACCGGCGGTGCGCTCGGTGCTCTCGCAGATCTGGCACGCCGAGGAGGAGGTGCAGATGGTCGACACACGCGCCGACTACCGCGTCACCGAGTCCGAGATGTTGCTGGAGGAGCTGATCGAGAACCTGCAGAAGTCTGAGCCGGACCTGACAGCGGCCGGCGAGCACGCGGAGGGCGAAGACGAGGAGCACCTGGATGAGGAGGAGATGGAGGAGCGCGCCAGGCGCCGCGTGCATCGCTACACCACTGCCACCGATGAGGGTGACCTGCCCGCCTCCAGGCCGCTGACGACGCGCTGGGCCTTCGGCGGCTCCTGCAGAGCTCCGGTGATCAACCTGACCTCGGGCAAGAGCCAGCTGATGGTCTACGGTGCCGCTCAGTGCGCAGTCATCTACGATTACGGCAACAACACGCAGCGCATCCTGCAGGGCCACCGGAACTGCGTGTGCGGTCTGGCCGCCTCCCGCAACGGCCGCTGGATTGTCTCCGGGGACGTTGGGCCGGATAACGCGCTCATCGTGTGGGACGCCGCCATGAGCGCACCGCTGCAGATGCACTTTCCGTCCGCAGCGTTCTCAGGTCCGCTGCAGCTGGAGTTCAGCTGCGACAGCCGGTACGTCTTCGGCCTGTGGGGCAATGTGGAGGAGGTCGGCGGTCGTGCACGACAGCAGCTCGTCTGCTGGGACTGGACCATAGACGGCGCTGTGCCCACATTGGTGCACCAGTTTGGCATTGGCCACGGGTTTCATCACCACCTGAGTGTCAGCCAGATGGATTCTGCCGTGATGGCCACCACCGCCGCCTGCCGCATGCTCTTCTTCCAGATGACGGATACTGGGGTGGCGCACCACTGTCCTCAGCTGCACAGCACCTACTCTCCCGACTTCAAGTGCAGTCCGGGACACTTCACACAGACGGCCTTCTCAAGCGACGACCCGTATGCAGTCTTCACCGGCACAGAGAAAGGCTACGTGATTCTGTGGAGCGATCGGCGTCCCTCGGCCCCGTGCGATCCGGAGAAACTGAAGCCCACCGTCAAGAAGGAGGCGCGCAAGGTGCTCAAGATAAGCGAAGCACAGATCACCTGTCTTCAGGTCACAGACGGTGTTATCTGCGCCGGTACGGCCGCCGGAGAGCTGCGGTTCCTGGACGGCCAGCTGCGCCTGCGGCAGTGGTACCAGCGCTTTGGACTGGCCACCGTGCGGTGTCTGTCATCTGGACTGCAGCCGGTGCGGTCGGGCAGACAGGGTTCTACACAGCCCGACTCCCTGCACAGTGCTGGCGGCGACAGTGTCGGCCCACTGCCCGACACTGACTCGATGGACAGCGAGCAGATGCCGTACCCAGGGGACGCCAGCCTGGAGGCGGCGGAGTTCACGTGTCGCGACCTTCTAGTGACGGCGTCCGACGGGTTCTGCGGCCTGGTGCAGGTGCGCACCTCCAGCTGTCGGCGCATCGCCCAGTTCCCCGTGGTCACCGTGCGAGCCCTGGACGTGAACCGAACTAAGCCTTACCTGGCGATCGGCGCTTACGACGGCAGCGTGAGGGTCTACGACTTCCAACACAAGCAACTGGTCCTGGAAACAGTGCTGACGGGAAGCAACCGCGTCCACTCCTTGGCCTACTCCCCGTCCGGTCTGCACTTGGCCGTCGGCATGCAGTGCGGTGAGCTGGTCATTCTGGACGGTCTTACGCTGCTACCGGAGGGTGACCGAATCACTCTCAGCCGCGCCGCCATCACCCAGTGTCTGTTCTCACCCGACTCGGACTTGCTCGCCACGCGGGACGATGATCTGGTCGTGTCCGTGTACCGTTTCGAAGTGACCATACACCAGTGGGGCGTGCTGGCGCGATGGCGCGCCCACCACCGACCCATCGTCGAGCTGCTGTTTGCGCCCGGACAGGACGTATCAGCGGGTCCTCGGCTACTCTCGCTCGGCGAGGACCGAGTGCTCGTCGAGTACGACCTGGTCAACAGCACGAAGGAGAATCCGGTAGTGCTGTGCTGCGACACACTGGAGCAGTCGGCCATCCCACTCTGTATGGCGCTCTATCCACCACTAACCACTGAGGACTTCATCCTGGTCGCCAACTCTCAGTACAAAATGAAGCTGTTCAACGCACACACCCGCATGTGCCGTCGTGTGGTGCTTGGCCCGCAGTACGGCGCGCCGGTGGAACGCATGAAGGTGATCCCGAGGATCCTCTCCTGCGACACGGGACTGGCTGAAGAGCAGCACTCATACCTTGCCTTCTCCACCAGCGGCAAGATCGGCCTGCAGATTCTGCCGCTCGACGGCAACCCGCGAAAGGCGGCAACTGTGGTTGGACACCCCAACAAGGTGGAGCACTTGGACTGCAGCACGGACGGCCGCTGGCTGTTCTCCGCCGGCGGCGAGGACGGCTGCGTCTTCATGTGGGAGATCTACCCCGAGTCGCTGGAGGCCATGTCCATGCTGGGCGGCATGGGCATGACGCCGTTCTACGACCAGCTGGAGGGCGGCCGCGAAGGCGAGCTGTACCGGAAGCTGGAGGACCTGGTCTACTATACCCAGCTGGTGTGTCAGGGCGAGGACCTGCTGGAGCGACGCGCCGTCAGCCAGACGGTGCCGCTTCACACCGTCACCGACGTGCTGCGCGCCATCGGCTTCTTCCCTACAGAGAAGGAGATCGATGACATGCAGAACGAGGTGCGGTACCGCGATTACGCAGCCACCGGCGAGCTGGTGGAGGAGGTGCATCTGGACGACATCATCCGGCTGTACATCAACCACGGTCCGGTGTCGTCTGTGTCTGGCCGCCAGCTGGATTGGGCGCTGCACACGCTGGCCTCGCAGTCCGGCTCGCGACATGGCCACCACGGCGGCCTGCCAAGGAAGGAGCTGCTCAGAGCGCTGCAGGCCAACGGCGAGCACATGTCGGAGCGCGAGCTGGCCGCCGTGCTGGCCGAGCTGCTGGACCCGCGCGCCGAGACGCTGCCGCTCGGCGTGCCGCTGGACACGGTGGAGCACCAG